GAGGGAAAAAAAATCAAAGCAAATATCCTTCTTCTCAGGGCTTTGGAGTATTATTTTTTTCTCCATTTTCAGATACCAGAAATGGTAAAATCACAAAATTAGAGTTTGATAGCAACTCATAAAGATTTCATTTTCTGAATTGTTTTCTGTTAGGTAATAAAACATTTGCCCTAATTACTAACCAAATGTATATATAAACGTTATGGCCACCACATACATATATGTAATTGTATAAATTAATATAACCCAAAATATAATAATCTAGGTGTTTTTTCAAGATAGATATAAAGAGGATTCCAATAACATTGGTATAGCTTTTAAACAAACTATATTCGATTTATCCAAAATGGCAATACAAAAAGTTTAAGTTCTTTATTTTAGGTAACAAAGTATACGCCCCCCCCACCCCAGCACTTAGTTTTTCATAAATTCTCCTTGGGATAAGGATCAGAGGAAAATATGCCTGAACTGTACACTGTATGTGTGTGACTAGAATAATTTTAATATTAAATTAAGACAACTATATAACTACAATTAGTGTGTATGTAAGTATGTATATGTGTGTACAGAATAAATTTGCCTGAAAATAGTTCTGGTCATATCAATGGGGCCATCTTACCAGATAAGGTAATAGCAAATCATCTTCCCCCTTGGCTACTCCCTAAGTAATATCTGTAATTATACTTCTCTCATGGATCATTTGGTAATTTCCTGTCTTTGGTTTCATTTGGAGTTATATCCTTAATCTTCATTATTTAAGTCTTTAAAATTCATAAAATTAATCATTCAAATATAACATCCATTTAGCTATGCAATTGAAATATTTAAAAAAAATCAGTAGTCAGATATAGCCAGGATTTCATTCTTTTCTTAATTATACTTTGTCACAAGAAATTCTTGAGTAAAAATAATGGAATATGTTGTTGACAGTTTTTAAAGATTTAAATATTTGATGAGATTGCATATTAAGTGTTCAACAAATTGATAAAAATTATAGATGAGCTAGTTCACTAATATATGTACAAAGTGCCCATAAAGTCCTTGTATATTGCCCACTATTTTAAATTTCATATAAACTTTATGGCCAACCTGGATAAATTATAAAGATTTATTAAACAAGAATATTCATTTTCAAAACACAAAAATCACAAATACACATGGAGACAAATCTGTGATTTATTTTCTCACAAAAATAATTTTATTATTATTTATTTTTAGAGCCAGAGTCTTACTTTGTTACACTCGGTAGGGTGCTGTGGCGTCATAGCTCACAGCAACCTCCAGCTCTTGGGTTTAGGAAATTCTCTTGCCTCAGCCTCCTGAGTAATTGGAACTGTGGGCACCTGCTACAATGCCTGGCTATTTTTGTTACAGTTGGCCCTACTATTTTAGCTGGCTGGGGTCGGGATCAAACCTGCCACCCTAAGTATATGAGCCTGGCACCCTACCTACTGAGCCACAGGCACCACCCTCGCAAAAATAATTATAAAGGCATACTCTAGGTTAAAATTTTTGTTTTCTTAAATTGACTTGAATTTATTATTATTATTTAGCCTATGATTTGTTTATTACTATTTTGTCCTTCTGGTTATCTATGGAATTATTCCACTAGATAAGTCAAAAATTCCTTTATTTAGGTGTCATTATTCTTACCAGTAGCTTTTAAGATTAGCTCTACTTTCCAAGAGACACTTGTGCCTGTATTGCATACATATTTGGGTCCTATTTGGAGTTGCCAATCTTCTGCAAGTGTATAAGTTGAGTTATTAAAACATGAGATTAAGCAATCCTTCCAAATGTCTCAGCTGTGTCATATATATATGACATTATTTTATATATATATATATAATCGTAGCTGTGTACATTAATGCAACCATGGAGTACAATGTGCTGGTTTTATATACCATCTGAAACTTTTTAAGCAAACTAGTTAACATAGCCTTCACTGCATCCTCTTAGTTATTGTGTTAAGACATTTATAGTCTACATTTAGTAAATTTCACATGTACCCTTGTAAGATGCACCGTAGGTGTGGTCCCACCCATTACTCTCCCTCATCCATCCTTCCCCTCCCCTCCCC